CCACGCGTGGAACGCTCATAGGAGGAATTGCGATCCACTATGGGATTCAGAATGATAAGCAAAGCGAAGGGGCTCTCGCTTGATGAATATCACGTCCGTAACATCTTCAATTACAACAATTACCCTATGAATCTCGATTTGAGAGCCGTGAGTTCACCAACGGGAAAAAAAAACACGCACGATTAAGTTTTTTTTTTTTTAAATTGTGAGAAACGTACGTGAAATTAAACAATCGCAATTTGCAACAATTGCTTTGAGTCGAGGCAGAAACGCTTGATGCGACGGCATTAAAATTACGCGCAGCGTACGCGAACGTCAGAAACGGCGGCTAGTTAGCTTACATTAGCCTGATTACGTTACTTATTCCGAAACAGAACGAACACACGAGTAAGAGGGGCTAGAGCGCTCGCTCTCGTCGAAGTTGCTCACTTCCCGCCACTCAGGAGCACTTCGAGTCCATTCACTCAATTCATTTTCATCTCCGATTCGCCGTCCGCCCTTCCTCCTCTGTTCTCTCATTAACGTTCTTTCCGGTGGCCCCGAGACTCAAATCAGAACGAGATTCTTCCTAAGAAAATTAGCGCTCGTTTCCGCGAGCCGATTGCTCGTCGATGTAGAACGTATTCGAGCGGATGTGTGTGTGCGTGTTGTTACACATATCCCCACCAAGTAGACGATAACGAAGTGTCACATTGATTTACTTATCGAAATGGAGAGTCCTAAAGTATAACTAACCCTTGTCTCATTCATATACGTTCTAAATTAAGAATACGGATTTATATGCACGAGGCACTTGTGCAGGCCTTTATGTCGCACGATCCAGTGTTCCGAGCGAGATTGGCGATACAATGCGCGGCAATTGCGTTGTGAGCAACGCGTAAATTGAACGTCAATTAAAACTCGTCGGCGACCTGATCAGAATTACGGCGAGCAATATTCGGAACGTATGTACGTATTCTTGACAAAAAAAATCCAAGCGGAAAAGAAGAAGTTATCTTCAAAAATATAATTACGAGATAAAAACGCATTGATATATTCATTCAATACGTTGGAACATCGATACAACAATTTTCTCAATAATGCCTAATGATGTAATGTAGCCTCTACCCAAAAAAATAGACAATGGTTTCTTTGTGCGTACACACGACGTGCATGTGTTGTTCACTCCCACGTATTCGACATACGTACTATTACGTTATACTCTCGTCGTCTGGCGACCGAGAACTACACCAAGGGAAGTTGCGGCCCGCGCGACGGGAGACGAACGGTCATTTTTTAAGGGGGGTGAGTTCGTGCTCATGGGGGTAAGTTGGCTAACGAATCGTTTTTCTTCGAGGGTCGAGGAGAGACATCGGATGTATAGAAATAAAAAGGGACGCGAGCGCGGGTGAGACATTTATTGGATGATCCTATTACACATCGCCGTCCCGCGTATTCGTAACGTTTAATACAGCTCCGAGCTGTCATCTGGCAAACAGCGTGCAATTTATTTTTTTTCCTGTCAGTTCATTACTACATTATGAAACAACTTGCGATGGATTTTTGACTAATCGATACTGTCGCTGTTCTGAATTGCCGGTAACAAATTATCGTTTTCTTTTCTTTTGACGAAGAAAAGCTCTATCTTTACACAACCTTGACCGAACCGTCGTGAAAACTGTGACGAAACAGCAGCATTTTGATTTTCGACTGACTAATATGTCGTAAAACGCCGTGCAGTGACAACTGGCAGAGCTGTAAATCCCGTCGTAAAATTATGCCGGCCGCGACGTGTGCAAAACTATAAATATTAATGCTTCCCAAAAATAGTTCTTCTCTTTGGCTCCGTTCATCCTTTTTTTTTTTTTATTTCTCTCCTTCTCGCTTCCTCGCAACGGCGTCGTAAATCAAGCCGCTAGAAGGAGGTTGTCAGCGAAAAATACGGCGAATAAAGGCGACTGGGGGTAAGAGTTTGTTTTAGATGCCAGAAACCCTTTCGCTCGGCGAGAAACATTGCTTTCGGCAGCCGCGACTTCCCTCGAACATCGTGGAGTGATATGAACTCTTCGATTTTCTATTACACGCTCTCCCGCGCAGAATTTTCCCAAAGATCGAAAACTATTTCCCTCGCGTGAGAAAATTCGATCTTCGTCGCTATCTGTTACGCGGATAAAGGAAAAATATTTGTGTAACAAGATTTTTCAATTTTTCACAGATTATACGAAAACCATCATTTATAAAAAAGTAACATACACGTAAATGTGAAGATTTTATCATTTATCGCACAACAATGTACAGATCTCTGAGAGTTTTGAGAAACTTCGGGATGCGATCCGCCTCGGGGCAAAATAAATAGTGGTTTTAATTTCATTATCATATTTCGAAGATTTTTCATATTTTTGAGAACGTAGGACCCTTTCGTGATTTTTAGAAGGGATACCAATAGCCTGCAATATTTTTCCCGATGATCTTTCTTGAGATAACCATCGTCCTTTATCTGGTTGTGTATCGCGTGTAGAAATCTTATCTCAGAGCTCCCTCAGCCGCCTACCACTCTGTCATCTCACGATGTCGGAGTCGCTTTGATCCCTCTCGCTTCGAGTTTACATCGGGACAATCAAGGGACTGACACAGCCACGTGGAGTCTAACTTTTCGAAAATTAGCCACGTGGGGTTATACACAAATGTCATATATACGAATATCATTAGAGATAATTTGTGAAAACATGTTTGTAGGCAATAATACAAAGAAATATGCGATTTTAAATAAATATACATTATAATTCCTGAGAATTATAGTAGAATTTTTTTTGAATAGTCACGTGTCGGCGATCAGAGAAGAGTCTCTCTCTAATGTAGCTACTAGCAAAGCTTGTCACTAATGACTTTGAGACAAGATCTCGGATCTAGATCTTTCCTTAATCTTCTTTCTTTGCTTTCTACCAAAGCGCCATAATAAATTTATATTTTCTATTTCTAATCGCATCTCTATCGAAGAAAGTAGATTGTGACAAAACTGTAATGAAGTGAAAATCTTTTTGAACATTACCAATTGTATCACTTAGCTCATAAATCATCGCATATTTTTTCACATACATACACAAACATTAAAATTTAACTTGTTTCTTTTTTTTTATTTTTCTATCGATTTCGTGTTTTGTTTCCATGATCACTCATATGTGCACACGCGTACAGATAAGAAAAACGAAGGAAACGAAAAAACCTCAGTCGAATACAGCTATAGACGGGGGCAATATCCGACTCTTTGGTCTCCGCGCGTACCATTGGCCGTGACCACGCAATAAATCGAGCCATTCAGCCTAATGATTAATTAAATATAATGACTGCACCGGCCGTGACTGATGAACCGGCTAAGACAATATCTATCTTGTGTTGGTGAGTCTCGCCAACCGAATGCGGACGTAGATGTATGACCGCGCCGATCATGAAATTGCACGTATATCATACACCAGGTGCCATTCGCACGGAAAGCATTGCGAAAATATTGTTGACAATAACAATTACAGGCAATTTTTTTTCCTGAAAAACAAATTTATTTCTTTTAATAAATTTGTTACGAGAAGTTTATATAAGAATTTTAATTAAATAAAGAAACTATTGAAATATGTGTACAGACAGGAGCAAAAAAAAAAAAAAAAACTATAACTGTATCTCTCGAGCGTCTAGTGATGTCATAAACCTGCATTATATACGCGTGCACACACGTAGATTTATCTTCGCTCGATGTCTCTCGTGTTGGTGAGCAACAGAAGGTGGATGGAAAGCATCATTCAGTTCCGTGCCTCCTAAGTACACGAAAGAAACCACCGAGTCCACCTTTATGGTAGTTATTAATATCAAATAGTCAGCCACCGTGCCCATTACGGACACATAATGGGACATCATTTTTTGCCGCGACAATGAGGCGCTCCGTTAAAATGCTCGATGTATTTGCATTATTTATGTGAATAATATTCAACGGCGTACAATGATGTTAAACAACAATGCAAATAAGTTGAAAAAAAAAATCAAAAATGCAGGTAGTGCAATAGTTAGTCAGATATTTTTAGAGACATTTTTTCAGATACCTCGACATTGTTGTCGAATTTTCAAACATATGACTGTTGCCAGAAAGGCAGCATAGCTATCTTTGGTTTTATTGAAAAGAGATGCGCGTCATGTTACTCAAGCGACAAAGATCTCTTTTACAAAGAGATTACTACCTGAGAGCAAATTCCTTTTCCATTTTTTAGTAGTAATAATAAATAAGTAAATTAATTAATTATTGTATTTTATATCCGTAATATTTATTGCTTGCTTTACTTAGTTGTTATTTGTTATTTAGCTTATGCTTTTTGTTTTATTAAATAAAGTTCTTAAAGTTTCAGATATTTTATCGTAATTGTATGTAGCGAGTGAATTATGAGTAGTAATGTTATCAAATGTGAACTATAACACAATAAAAGTCAAATTTAATGTTTAAAATAAAAAACAAAACTATTGCGGAAACTGCAGTATACTTACGTACGAAATATCTGTACTAATTATCTTCTAGATCACATTTACCAGAGAAGTAAAAAACCTCACTAAACTTCTAATAATCAACACGCGTTACATTTAGTGCGTTACAGAAACTTGTGTATTTTGTAGTGCTGATCTTAAAAACTTCCAAACCATTCACAAAATCCCGACATGCGCCTTAATGATCGCAACGCCCACTTGCATATAGTAGATTGACAGGCACCTCCCAATCTCGCGGCCTCCAATAATCGGTCGTGTCATCAGCGCCAATAACACGCTGGTACCCATTCAACAACGTTTGTTACTGGATAGGAGGCTTGGTTTAGAGAAAGTAGTGGGGATAGAGGTGGAGTCAACCACCAGTAGGGCGGAGAAGCACCAGGTTGGATATCATGTGGTTAGGTAAGACGAGGAAGGCACGAAGATGTGCGCATGCTAAAGGGAAAGAGAAAGAGACCGTAGCCCGAAATAGGAGCTCTTGGTTCAGAACGCCGGGATTCTCAGTCCCGCTGTGAACGCAGCAAGGAGCAGTACGTTCTACCTTACCAATACGTAAGTCACGGTACGCGGGACTCTTACCAGTGTGTTGATTTGACAGTGTTTTTCTACCCTAATCTATACAATCTCGATCTCGTAAAGTAGCATTGTAGTAATAATGTAAAAAGCATGATAATTTTTGAAAAATTCAATGCAAATTCAAATCAATTCTATTTATATTATATACGGCGGGAGAAAAGCATAATATAACATACTTGCATTTTTTTTTTGGGACAAAAGATTGTTCGACAAAAATCAAAATCAATTTGCTCTGTCAAAATTAGTCCGTAGTGTAGCGCAAGTGTGAAAAATGAAAAATAGGTTTAAGTGAGTGATTTTTAATATAGTTACATATAAAATGTGAAATTATATGTTAAATGGCAATGGGACGCGGCATGTCATCGTGGAAAGGAAAATATTTTCGAAAGCGAAAAAACGAAAAGTTTGTAAAAAACAAGTGTGTGCACGTATTTAAAACTTAATAATGTATATACAAGATAAAGTGCGCGATATTTGGTGTAAAAACTACTGTTGTATATACGTTTTTTTTTAGTTCTAATTCCACGAACGTCGTTACATGATGAGTGAAAGAATGAACTATGTCTATGAAAATATGTCCCATCCTCTCATGAAGTTGTCACCAAATGGTGGAGCAATTGGTGTCTCGACTGATGCAAACGCGAATATTCAGCTGTCTTCTCCAGGAGAAACGGCTCCTGTTCAGCCTCATTTTCATCCTCAAGGATACCCACCGCATCCTCATCCGACACCTCACATGACTCCTCACATGGGTCCGCCGCCGCACATATCTCATTCGAGTTACGCGCGCGAATTCTTATTCCGGCGAAATGAAGATTATAATCCACCAACCAGTTCCTCTGTCGAGAACGGATTGATTTTGCATCCGTTGCATCATGACGGAGCGGCTGCGACGATGCAACAATATCATCCACACAATCAGCATCCACTAGCTCCCAGTCCCTATGGGACACTATCCTCTGGACATTACTCTCAAGATTCCAGGATACCTCATTACTATAATACGTCTAATATCGCTACGCCGCTTTTGCATCATCCGCAACATCCAGTGAATCCGTGTAGTCATCGTGATAACATAGATCGCCACCATGCGCCAACTTTTGTAAGAACTTTTGTGAGGAGTGGCCCACCTGACGGTAATGGCTCCCTATACATCCAAAATTCTAGTGCACAACATCGTGAAGAGATAAAAACTTGCTTATGGATGGAAGAACTGGCGGGACGAAAACGTTCTTGTGGAAAAACTTTCAATTGTCTCAGCGACATTGTGGCCCATATCCAAGTGGACCACGTGGGTGGACCAGAGTTTACAACGCACACATGTTATTGGCAGAACTGTACACGAGAAGGCAGAGCTTTCAAGGCCAAGTACAAGCTTGTGAATCATATAAGAGTGCATACCGGAGAGAAGCCTTTTTCATGCCCGTTTCCGCACTGCCAGAAGGTGTTTGCCAGATCGGAAAATCTGAAAATCCACAAGCGAACGCATACTGGTGCGTATGAACTATTATTTCTGTGTCGAGCATTGCCTCGATTGTTAACATTGTGATTATCTAAACTGTTTTTCTTTTTTCTTGACTTTTTATCGACGACTTTTGCTTTTATTATAACGCACACACACGGCGGATGTGCGTAAATAGTAGACACGTTACATACTTTTGAATACACATTAAATACATTTGATGTACATGTCGTTAAAAAAAAAATTATTAATATAAAATCTTCACAATTTAAACGAAGGTAAGTCACAAAAAATATTTTCTTAAAATAAAAGAAATAACGCACAAAACTAAATGTAGAAGAACCAAAAAATAACAGGCGAACAAACTACTACTTGCAATATATATTGGTGTAAATTTTGTTCGCGCTAAAAGTCAGAAATGTTAAAACGTTGTCTTCAACGTTCTCCCGGGAGAAGAGTTCAGAAATTTTTTGGATCCTATCAACGTGACGTTCACGATCCAGATGCTTGGGTCACTCTCAGATTTGAATCAAATCGGATATTTTTTTCCACGAACCGATTCATCTCGACGTCTGGCGGGCCGTATTAAACCTTGTTTTCAAGTTATACCACACAAACCGCCAAATCACATAAATTACATCCACATAAACTAGCTTCTTCATAGTATGAGTCATTCCCAAATCTCGTTGGAACTCGGCCGAGCGTGAGAATGATTAATTCAGGAGCAGCCGCTTGCTCCGCCGCGAAGGTTGCGCGGACAAAGAGAAAGATCGGCGATTTTTTTGAATGTCAATAATTCAGTTTTCGATAAATAGCAGAATTACAAAGACTTTTGTTAGGATGGCATCAATAATCGTAAAAAAAACTTACTCACCGTCTCGCGACCGTGACTTTCTGTATATTTTCGTTTATTTTGGAGAGAAAATCTTTTTTTTTTTTTATCCCGGTTGTCTCATCCACGAGACGCCACCGGCGCCTCAAGTCGTTTCAATGTAATCAACCCGCAGTTTACGATGACAAGAATTTTTCGGAGAGCAATTAAGAAATTACCGGGCCGTATATCGTGTCGTTTTATGTTCGCGGTCCTGGACATAGTATTTACATATTTAGTCGTCGAACGCGCGCCCTATTAGCCCGATGCGACGGCTAGACGCTAGGCGTCAGTCGTCTCGTTGCTGAATCCCGCACAGTGAGACATTTACATTGAAAATCGCTGGCCAAAAGTCAATTTTAAAAAAAGTCAATTTTTTTACTTTGTTTGTAAAATTTTTGTTGTTAAATTTAATATTTTGAGTGTGTAATGTTAAACAGTTCAAATTTGTTACATTGTGTAATAATTTAAACAATTGGGAGATTTCGACTTTTAATCTGTCATTGCTTTAACTCTCTATAACATTATGTAGAAAAAAAATTAAACAATATTATAGTAATAAATTTATAAAATTAAAAGAGAACGCGCGCGAGTAATTATGCGTTGTAATTTTCACAGTCGCTACATATGTAACGCGATACGCATTTTGCGCGAATATTTACATTCATTAATGTAACTGTGAACACAAACATGCTGAACTACATGTGGTCGAAAGAAATCAATTAGTCTCTTCGCGCAATCCGGCACAGCACGCGTGGTTTAACCCGCCGGATATGTACATTATTTTGCGCGCGCGCTCCCACTCGTGCGCACTTAATGACTTTTAATAATGAAATCGCACGAGAAATTATACGCGCACTCGAGGGCACATACCCGCAGGTGCCCTCGTATTTTCGTCGTTCGCACGCGGGATGCGGATTCGCGCGCTCATCGTCGTATCCACCACCACCCCCTCCCCCCCCGTGTGCCGAGGGCAGTATATCACGTGTGATTAAATTTCGTTTTCATTTATAACAAACGCCACCCTTCCGACGCCATTGTGGAGTGTGAGCGCATTTTCTATCTTTCTCTCTTCCCCGTGTGACCCCTCTTTCTCTCTCTCCGCCACGGGTTGACAGTTTGGGACTCGCCCAGATCGACGTTGTGCCACCCTATCGCGTGTTGAGACATATACACATTGTTGTAACAACCATTGTGCGTGTGCGCGTCTCCCCTACGGAGACGCGCTTAAGACCGCTTTAAAATCACTTGGATATTTATACGCGCCTCGCTCTAAATATTGATCAATATCGCGATTTATATGCTCGATAAGAATAAAAAAAAAAAAAAAGATCGAAATAAAAGATTTAGAAATGCCTTTTTAAATATTAACAGCAGAATCAATTAGCATTTTTCTACTTATTTATTACGCGTTCAATAATCTCTTTCAAAATGCGCGCATAAAATATTTTTCACAAGCAAAGTGCGACACTACACGCTAATTTTTCGAGATGTTTGTTTTATAAATATACATGACGTTTGCGCCTACATGAACCATGTAAATTTCGTTTGATATGATCGGAGGGAGATCAACGGAGATGTATTAAAATTCATTTTTGTTCGCGTACGTGGTAACGACAACCCTTGTGCGACCCTCGTCGAAATAAATTGGCGTTTTCGAGAAACGGTTCTCGAGCCACGCACGGCTTCACGCATTGTTTTCGCACGTTGCTGGCGAAGGCGCGCGCGCATACACACATCACGCCTCTATATTACGCGCCCTTTTTTTTTCTCTTTTTACTTCTTTTGCCGTGCCGTCGGAATACGCAAATGTGATTTGGCAGCATCGCACCGTATGCTTCACAAGTACGCGCGCGTGTGTGTGTGTGCTTACGTGTGTACCGTAAATATTTTCCTCGATATATATTCCACGCGTTCTCGTCATTGTTCTTGTTAGACGAGAGACAAATTCGAATAGACAGGTATACACGCAAGTTCACTCTCGTTCTTTGAGAAATCATTTTAATTGCGGGGTGTATAAAACTACAAAGTGAATTATTACGAATAATTAATAATCGTTACCAATACAAAAAAAAATCTCTCTCATTTTAAACGCGAATTTAAAGTTTAAACGCATTTAAAATGTTAATTTCCTTGAACGCAAAACAATTATTATTTTTTTTAATAATTACATTGTAATCTTACAACGCGCGCTATTGATTGATATTTAGATTATTAATGTTGTAATATCGTTCTTTAGCATATCGCATATAGCGTTATCCAGCGCGTATATATACATCCAAGTGCGGGACTTGGTGACGTTGCACTTAACGATGATCGATGGAACGCGCAGCATCCATTAGCATAGAAATGATTTTGAGTCGCGACGTCGAAAAGAGCCTAGTGTGTGTGTAGTATGGCCGTGGCTACATCGCAGTACAACAAATTGAGACGGACTAAAATATTACGGTCCTTCTCGCGAGTAATAATGCGACGCAAGAGGGGGGCAAGTCGCGCGCGAGCAACCGGTAAACTACTCGCGCGATCTGTTCATCGCGTATATAATCGCGGAAAAAATGAAATATTCTCGTTTCTTCCGCGACCGATCGGTGTCCTATTAATCCGCAGATGCGAGACAGCGTCAGTCATTAGGCCAAATTGATATGCATTTTAAAGCAGCTTACTTCTTCTCGCTCCTTTGGACCAGCGGTAAAAAAAAATACATGTAGAATCCGCTCGCAAAACCGATCTCGACCGATGTGCGTGGAACGAGCAAACGACGATTGGTCAGATGGACAATGGGTCTTCACGGGTTGTGCGCTATTGGTCAGGATTTTCGGAGGGTTCGACGCGGAGAATAGAGGGATGATACGGGATGAGTCGTCGCGAAGGGTGTCACGAAATAAGCGTTAAGTAGGGGGCGAAATACACCGTGGGGATCGAGAGGGGGCTGTGCGCGCGCGACGTATAGAAGCAAGTAAATGGCTACTTACTGAAGCTGTAACGCAACTCGCGCGTATGAACCATAAAAAAAAAAAATACGTTAACCGGTTTTGCGCTAATCCTTTAATTATCGCCAGCGATGACAAACAGAGACAACTCTGTTTCAATCATTCTTGCTAGTTTTTCTGAATAGATCTTCTTGTCAAACATTTCGACGTAGACGTCGCAAATGCGAGACTTTAAACAAACCACGAACTCCGTTGAATAAATTGCAACAAGATAGATGTACCTGTTCCTGTAGAAAAATTGTGACGGGCATAAATTACTTGGAAAACTAGCCAAGAAAATTTAATTTGATATTATCAACCTAATCGCTTCTTTATAATAATTAGATAATAAACGTGATTGGACTTAACTACGTTGTTTACGTTTATCAACACGCACAAATTGTCTTTATTTACTTGTACGAGCGACGCGCACGTCACGATACCGCAGCCGCTACTATTTTACCGGAAGTCATGCCGTCGCCTGAAACGGCTCCGGCGGAGTTACCGTTTTCTACGACCGATCCGGCGGAGAGCGTCCGATCGTGCCGTGTCGTGAGTTGCACGTCGGCGTAAAGGCAATTACTCTCAGCGGAGGCCAGCGCGCGTACCCCGTATTTTTGCGTCGTCGGAGTATACGGCGCGGGAGAGAAGGCGTAAAACGTCGCGGTGAGAAAGAGAGAGAGAGAGACGTTGGAAAGGGTTGAGAGAGTCGGTGATTCGCTTCGTGGGACGCCGAGAGATACGGCGAAGAAGCGAAAAGAGGAGAGGAAAAGACGATAAAGCGAGAGAAAGAGAGAGAGAGAGAGAGAGAGAATAAGAGAGAAAGAGAAGAGAGAGAAGTGCCCGAGAGTTAGAAGGGAGAGACCATGAGAAATTATGAAACGAGAAGTACGAGGCCACACGAGGAGCCGTTGCCCGGAGCGCGATACGATATTTGCTCAAGCAGCGAGAGAGCCACCGCGGCCAGGGAGATCGACGGCGATCGGTAGCGCCGCGAGTATATACCGGGTAAAATGCTTGCACGGTTTCTAACGATGCTCGGAAGCGCTCGGTACAGAACGAATTGGGTCGGATTCGCATCAAAGCATGGAACAGCAGGAACTTGTTGTGACAAACGCACGGTCATTGCCATTGCAAGAAACTTCTGTCGGTCTGCAGAAAATTTGAGACTCGAGTGAAATAACGGGGAAG